GTGGGTGTGTGTGAGTTGGTGTGTGTGAGAGTGTGTATGTGAGAGAGAGTGCGTGAGAGTGTGTGTGTATGTGAGTGTGTGTGTGAGAGAGTGGGTGTGTGTGAGTTGGTGTGTGTGAGAGTGTGTATGTGAGAGAGAGTGTGTGAGAGTGTGTGTGTGTGTGTGTGTGTGTGAGTGCGTGTGTGTATGTGAGTGTGTGTGTGAGAGAGTGGGTGTGTGTGTTTGTGTGTGTGAGTCTACCTGTTTCTCTGTATGTTAATGGTGCTTTCAGTTTAGATGGTGTCATCAGCTGCTGTCCTCCCTCTCTCTCTAAATAAAAACCGAAACAACTGCGGATGCTGTAAATCAGGATCTTAAACAGAAATTGCTGGAACCTCAGCAGAACGTCCTGAGAAAGTGTCAGCGGACCCGAAATGTTAATTCTGATTTTTTTCTTCACAGATGCTGCCAGACCTGCTGAGCTTTTCCAGCAACTTCTGTCTCTGTTCCTGATTTACAGCATCCACAGTTCTTTTGGTTTTTAATTTGTTATCAATCGTTTAGTGGTTGTGCTCTGATAACGTCATGTAATCACCTGCACAATTTGTTTTTTTTTTAACAGAAACAGCTCATAGTGATTGTTTGGGACATTACTTTGGTGTCTCTTGAACTGATAGGAAAGAGTGAGACCACGTATTTGACAGTGGAACATTTTCTGATTACCTATTTTGTTTGATTTCATCAGTACGCTCAAAGGCTTTGGATTTTGATGGAGACTTACACAAGATTCTAACCTGATTGGAATTACCGAGTGGGATATTCAATTTCCCTAAACAGTTCCTTTGGATGGTGGTACGATGGAGATTCCCAGCTCAACTCTCTCCCTGCACTGGGATAAGGACTGCCTGTCAGGAGGGTGATGGAATACTCCCCACTTGTCCCTGGATGAGAGCAGCTCCAGCAGCACGCAAATAGCTTGACACCATCCAGGACAAAGCAGCCCCTGCTCGATTGGAACCACATCCACAAAAATCCCACTCCCTCCCCACACCGACGCTCAGTCGCAGCAGTGTGTACCATCTACAAGATGCTCTGCAGAAATTCACCAAAGATCCTCAGGCAGCACCTTCCAAACCCACAACCCACTTCCATCTAGAAGGACAAGGGGCAGCATATACATGGGAACACGACCCCTTGCAAGTTCCCCTCTGAGCCACTCACCATTCTGACTTGGAGATATATCGCTCTTCTTTCAGTGTCGCTGGGTCAAAATCTTGGAATTCATGACTTTATGGACATTGTGGGTCAATCCTCAGTGCAATGGCTCATAAGGAGCTAGCCATCATCTTGTCCTGGAAAAACTAGCTACGGGAAAGAAATCCTGACCCATTATGTGATGCCCATATCCCACCAGTGAATAAAAAATAAATCATTTCATGGTTTGGAAGGAATAGGACCATCCTCTGGGCTTCACTGGCGAGTTTTAATTATTCGTAATGCGAGGAATTGATGTAACCAGATAATTTACTGCATCACTCAATTTCCTTCTGAACATAGACAATGTCGCTGCATAAATAAATGTGTTTGTGCAACAGCTTAGGTTCTGCAGCATATAACCAACTCTTCTGAAGTGATAAAGAAATTGCTGGTAATCCTCAGGATTGATTCCTTGAATGACATAATATAAGAAATTTAGAACAAAGATTAACCATAGGAGGATGAAGCTCCCAGATATGGAGAAGAGCAAAATTACAGACTTCCTTCTGCTCTCCATCTCTGGATCTTTGGTATTCGCTCCTTTGCTCTCACCCTTCAGCCTCTTCCGCACTCGACTGGTCACTAAAATGTGTCTGACTGTCACAGCATTGAGCAACAGAATTAAAGCGAATGGCAGTAAAGGGGTTAAAACTGTATCAAGCCAATCTAATATCACCCACCAAGTCTCAATAAAATAGCTTGACTTTATATAACAGTAGAATGGCACATTGTTGATTTTTTTCCCAGGCTCGTATTGAAAATAGAAGGGGATGTTTTTCAAACAGAACAGGGTGCAAGTTGTTGCTAGAACCAGAGTCGCAGTTTTCTCAGTGCAATAATTTGTTTTCAGCTTCTGACAACAAATAGTCACAAATCGGTCAAAGGAGAAAGTGACAGTGAACCAGACAGAGCAGTCCCTGGCTGAACGATACAGGACCCCATTAACACTACACACAGGAGTGATGTCCAGGAAACACTGTGGGTAATAATAATAGCGAAATCTCCTCAGCGGAACATCAGTGATAATGATCATCAGATCAGCAGCTGCCATAACCACCAGGTAGCGAATAGTGCAAGGAGAAACACCGCACTTTCCCCGGGAAAGGATAATAATCGCCAGCAAATCAACTGTGGAAGACAAACGGGAAAGAATTAGTGAATTACTGATCAGGAACACACCTGCCTGTTCCAGAAAGCAACAATAAGATACCTCCAACAAAAACTGCTGGATTATGCGAATGGAAGTGGCTACAGTTGAATGGGTTTGAATTTTACGACTTAAGGCTTTATAAGATTTCAAACAAGACTGCGCCTAATGTCTTGCACAAGTGCAAAATCACAGAGTATGCAGGGCTCCCACAGTGATAACGTGTGTGTGTTAGGACAGTTGTAATATTTTCACTGAAATCTACATATCTGTACATGACAAAGGGCCCAGGGAAGAGGAGGGGAATCTGTCAAGGAGAAGAAAATTTCCAGAAGGAATGTTAGTTAGGTGATGCCTTACAAATAAAAACAACCCTCATATCCCTTAATCGCTTTGCTTAACAATAAAAATCGACCTGAGATTTAAAATTTACACCTGATCCAATATCCATTGACATTTGTTGAAGAGAGTTTGAAACCCCATTCGCCCTTTGTGTGTGTAAGTGTTTTCTAACATCTCTCCTGAATGGTCAGGCCCTAATTCTCAGACTGTGCCCCTCTTTCTTGAATCCCTAACCAAAGGAAATAGTAAATCTTTATCTCCTCTGTCGGTTCCTGTTAATGTCGTGTAGGTCTTCACTCAGATCACCCCTTAAGCTTCTGAACAGAAAAGGCCTCACTGGTTATAACAAAAACAAAACAGAAACAGCTCAGCAGGTCTGGCAGCATCTGTGGGAGAGAAAGCAGAGTTGGTGTTTGGAGTCAAACGGTATGAAACTGGAACAGATGACAGTGCACTGAGATCAGAAAATGCTGCAGCATCAGAGTGAAGTTGGAAGTCTCTGTCACTGGAGAATTGTACCGAGAATGCTGCACAGTGAATTTCTATCACTGCCCTGGTGCCTAGATAAGGATGACCAGTCAGTGAGCTGGAGACGTTATTGTTCAGAAGATAAAACCAGAGATCAGATCAGCAGCAGGTTAAAACAAGTTCAATTGTCATGATGCCATACCAGGAACGCCAATAAAAGCAAGGATGGTGTAGAACACTTTCTCCACACGTTGAATCAGTCGATGCATTTTTCTGTGCGAGTTTATCTGTCCCTTCAGGCAGCTGACAATCTCCTGTTTGAAACTCTGAGCTGATGCATTCCCAGAGACGCTGCCTTATACTGTGTGGAAGCTCCTTGGGGAGGTCGAGGTTACAGCTTTGCTCAGCTTTGTTGCTGTTTATTTTTTCAAATTTCTGTAAATTGATTAAAATAGCAAGTGTACTCCTGATTATGAAGGAGCATTGTCGCTCAGTATCTCATAATGAAATAACAAAAAAAAATCTGAAATCTGCCACCAATAATGATGCCCATTCAAATACCACTCGCCCCACCCCGAGATGAATACTATTTCAATCGAAGTTGTGAAGAAACAGTTTATTCCAAGTGTGAAAATGCGTCTCAAAGCTGTCCTTCTGTCCTCTGGGGTTGGAGCTGCCCTCTTTAAACAAGAACATTTCACTCACTGATTAAAATGGGATATTTCTCACATACTGAACGTGTGCAGTTCTGCCAAAGTCAGCATTTATTCCCCATCCCCAGTTACCCAGGGTCTGAAATCACAGGAAGGACCAAGTCAGGACAGCATCCTGCCTTTCCTGAGGGAAGGGAACTCAGGGAATAAGACCGTCTTCCAAGAATGGAGACACGGATAAGAGCTCTAATTCCAAGTTGGAATGTAATTTGAACTTCAGAAGCTGCTGAACATCAGCCTTGAGCTCACAAAGGTAGCCCAGAGATAATGTCACAATGCCACAGATTGTAACTGGGTATTCTAACAGTAAACCAATTCGTCATCTCACACTACAAACAGATTCTCTTTCTGCTTTTAATAGGTGTCAAATTCAGGAAATGCTTCAAACCGAAAAAGAACCAGGGCAGGGATACAGAACACTGTCACTAGAGGAACTAGTGCAGCAGGGGTCCAGTAAGGGAAACAGAGGGGACTGATTCTCTTTAACCACCGTTACCAGGTCTGAATCTAAAGGCATGACGGTACCAGCACTCTCCAGTGTGAACAAAGAACAAAGAAAATTTCAGCACAGGAACAGGCCCTTCGGCCCTCCAAGCCTGCACTGATCCAGATCCTCTATGTAAACCTGTCGCCTATTTTCCAAGGATCTGTATCCCTCTGCTCCCTGCCCATTCATGTATCTGTCTAGATACATCTTAAATGACGCTATCGTGCCCGCCTCTACCACCTCCGCTGGCAACGCATTCCAGGCACCCACCACCCTCAGCGTAAAGAACTTTCCACGTACATCTCCCTTAAACTTTTCCCCTCTCACCTTGAAATCATGACCCCTAGTAATTGAGTCCCCCACTCTGGGAAAAAGCTTCTTGCTATCCACCCTGTCTATACCTCTTATGATTTTGTAGACCTCAATCAGGTCCCTCCTCAACCTTCATCTTTCTAATGTAAATAATCCTAATCTACTCAACCTCTCTTCATAGCTAGCACCCTCCATACCAGGCAACATCCTGGTGAACCTCCTCTGCACCCTCTCCAAAGCATCCACATTCTTTTGGTAATGTGGCGACCAGAACTGTACGCAGTTTTCCAAATGTGGTCGAACCAAAGTCCTATACAACTGTAACGTGACCTGCCAAATCTTGTACTCAATACCCCGTCCGATGAATGAAAGCATGCCGTATGTCTTCTTGACCACTCTATCGACCTGCATTGCCACCTTCAGGGTACAATGGACCTGAACACCCAGATCTCTCTATGCATCAATTTTCCCCAGGGCTTTTCCATTTACCATATAGTTCGCTCTTGAATTGGATCTTCCAAAATGCATCACCTCGCATTTGCCTGGATTGAACTCCATCTGCCATTTCTCCGCCCAACTCTCCAATCCATCTATATTCTGCTGCATTCTCCGACAGTCCCCTTCACTATCTGCTACTCCATCAATCTTAGTGTCATATAAAGAAGGCTCTGCCTAGACTTGAACTCAGATCACAGGGTTCAGAAACTAGCGCGCTCACCATTACACCATGACAACCACTAAACGAGACTTTCCCAGGCTCATCACTCCCTTCACCAAGAAGAAGGCTACACCTAGATTTGAACTCGAAACACAAGGTTCAGAAATCAGTGCGCTCACCATTACACCATGGCAACCAGAGCCTTATAAGCCAGAGTGAGTTTATAGTATTAGTTTGGACAGTGTAGGGAGAACATTGGCAGAAGGCAAATTCCAGTAGGATACAGAGAGTTCCTGTGCTACCCTTAACACATGCAGGGATATTCGTTTATCTTGGCGAAAGAAAGGAACAATTGCTTTCAGTGGGTTTGCCGTACATTTAAAAGAAATGTTTGGAACGAACCCAATTGACTTTGAGTTGGGCGATGTCGTTTGTTACCACCCGGCCAATTGCCCCGAACAGCAGTGTATTTTTGGGCGGATTATGACATCTGGAAGATGGCTAATGCAGATGGGGCACCAATAGAGATGTGCACGAGAACCTATACAAACAGGGTCTGTACAGCTGGGGAATTCTGACTCACACCTCCAGAGATGATCAATGAATTAATGGTACAAGAGCTTATTGCTAGACGTGCAAATGTGCTTGCGGTGGATAAGCATGACTGTAGCCGAATGTCAGGGGAAGTAATTGCAGAAGGCCCTGACCCAAAATCTCAAAAGCAGCGTCGTTTTCCTTAACAAGCTGAAGAAGAAGGAGCAAAGATCATTACAAATCTGCTACAGCGGGGAGTTTTGCTACCTGTGGCTTCAACAAATAATACACACACACACACACACACACACACACACGTAAAGTCTATTTTCAGGAAAGTTTCTGAGAAAGGGTCACTCGACACGAAACATTAACTCTGCTTTCTCTCCAGAGATGTTCCCAGACCTGCTGAGCGGTTGCAGCAATTTCTGCTTTACAGCATGTGCAGTTCTTTCGGTTCGTAAGTAATCCTCCCACTGGTCCAGTTAGAAAACCACATGGTTCTTGGCGACTGACAATGGAAAATAGTGAGTTAAAGAAAAGGCCTCTATTACCAGCAACAACAGTAGAAACTACTCTCAGAGCAATGATGAAACAAGTTCCAGAGGCAAAATATTTCACTGTTCTCGATATTGGTTATGGGTTTTGGTCTATTCCTTTCAATCAGCAATGTCAATATAAATTCGTTTTTACGTTCCACGATCAGGAATCTACATGAGCTTGTCTACCCAAGGGTTCTAAAACTCACCACCTATCTTCCAAAGAAGACTTGCTTAAAGGTACTTTTTCACAACGAGATTGTTTAATTCAGTCTGTGGATGATAGTGGAGAATAGCATGAGAAAGACAGAGTGTGGAATATCTGTACAGGATTGCCAAGGTACACTTCTTGTTAAGTTGGCTCTTAAATTTATTAGTGTGATGAGTGCCCAAGCAGCTGAAGTGGCAGCTGTGATTTATGTGTTCAGTAAGTTCCCAACACCAGCAGGTATAAAGTCTGACAGTGCGTATGTTTGAAATAGATTAACTAAATTCCTGACATTGTGGGAAAGGAGAAGTTATGTTTCAACAGATGGAATACTTCTCCTGTCTGCACCCTTGTCAAAGTGTATTTTTCAAACTACCCAAGGAAGGGAGCATGAGATTAATAGGCTTAAATCAAATCATATATTCTCTGCAGTTGGGAATTCTCAAGTCGATGAATTGGGAAAACAGGGTGATTGAGAGGGAGAAATATGGCAGCCTCCTAAACTGTTAGAGGACGGGGTATATTTTGGTTCATTTGTCACATATAGATAAGTTACAACTCTAGGGTACACCTTTTCTTAAAAATGGACTGTATGTGGTGCTAACTCGTGATCGTAATCTACTCGGCTATCAATAACAAGATGCTCGCCGTTGCCAGGGAGCAGATACAACTGCTAATCGAAATAAAGGACTATGTTGGTGGCCTTATTTGGACAAGGATGTGAAGCATTATGTGGACAATTGTTTATCATGTGCTCAAAATAACCCTGATAGGTAGACAAGTAAAAGGGATTTGAGGTGCAGGAGACAGGGTGAAGGGCCATGGACAAATTTGTAGATAGATGGTCCTTTGCCACCATGTCAGGGATGATACCGATATATCCTGGTAGCAATTGAGACTTTCAGTAACTGGGTTGAGGCATTTTCTATTAAAAGCAACACAGCTAAAGCGACAGCCAATATCCGAGTGCAACAAGTGTCTGTTAGATGGGGCCACCCACATAATATCGAATCAGATCAAGGCACTCATTTTATAGCTCAAGTAACGCAAGATGTCATGGCCTTATTTGGGATCAGCCAAAGGTTCCATACTGCCTACCATCTTCAATCAAGTAGGATAGTAGAGAGGATGAATTGTACTTAACAAAGCATGATTCAGAAGACCGTACATAGAACAATTCTTCATGGAACACAGTATTTGTTCCAATGATAATGTGAAAAACAATCTCCAGATAGACTTCACATGTTTTAATAACAGGACGTCTCATGAGGGGAATTGAATCTGTTTTAAGGTTGAATTTTTCTGAACCTGAAATTGTTGCTCTTAATCATGAGAGAACCGTCAGGCAATTTGCTGGACAATATTCCATTAGCTCAGGTGTCAGCAGCTATTGAAAGGTTACACAAATGCAAACAGAGCAAGACTTATTTTGATGGTAAAGCAATTTTTTTAGTGTATGAGTAGGGACAACATATTATGCTTTGAGGTCATCACGTATATTTTAGTCACTGAGATGTTCTGGAACCCATTCTATTGTAGATAAAGTAAGTCCTTCAGTGTATAAGGTGTTGCAGGATTCTGGAAAAAGAGAGCAAGGCAATGCTTCGAGTCTAAATGTCTGTTCATCAGAGCTGACGTGAAGTGTGGAAGGCAGCAGCATTTATGCTATAGTTAGGGGGAGGGGTGGTGTGTAGAGTGTTGGAGGCGAAGAATGTTGATAGTTCAGATTAAGTGATCAGAATGTGAGAATGGCAGAACAATAGGGAACCTAACTGCCAGACTGAACAGAACAGACAGTCCCCATTTGGGTGGTGGGGAAGTGAGAGAGGACATGGTGACAGAGAATGTAACTAGCATAGCTAAAAGGAAGAGAAGAAATGGGAGTTGGTTCACAATTTGAAGGTATTGAACTCAATATTAAGTCCAGAAGGTTATAAAGTGCCCAGTTTGAAGATGAGATGTTGTTCCTCCAGTTTGCGCTCTGTTTCACTGGGGCACTGCAGAATGCTGAGGATGGCCAAGTGCGCATGCGAGTAGGATGCTGTGTTAAAATGACCGGCTACAGGATGGTCAGGGTCATGCTTACGCACAGACCAGAGGTGTTCTACAAAGCTGTCATCCAGTATGCGTTTAATTTCTCCAATGTAGAGTACGCCATGTTGGGTACAGCAAATACAATACATAGGATTGTAGAATGTACAGGTGAGATGCTGCTTCACCTGGAAAGACTGATTAGGCCCTTGGATGGTGAGCAGAGAGGAGGTGAATGGGGGGGTTTGCTGAATCTGAGGTAACATGGGAAGGTGCCATGGAAAGGGGCAGGTGTTAGTCGTCAATTAATGGACAAGGTTGTCCTGGAGGGAACGATCCCCATGAAATGCAAACAGGGGACTGAGGAGAAGGTGCGTTTGGTGGTGACATTCTGCTGGAGCTGCCTGGAATGGCGGAGAGTGATGTTTTGAATGCGGAGGTTGATGGGATGAAAAGTGAGGACCATTCCCCACCAGGATGGTCTGAGACCTCTCGGCTTATTCCTCAACAGTGGCCTGAACACTCCCCATCCACCACTGCTCTCCTCTACTTCACTCACATTGCTCTCTCCTTTAACTCATTTCACTTCTGGCAAGCCAAAGGAGTAGCTATGGGCACCCTCGTGGGTCCCAGTTATATGCCTCTTTACGGGGTATGTAGAACCCTCCAGTATCCTCCTACAACTCTTTTCTCAGTAAATCGACAACTGTTTCAGTGTCATTTTTTGGTCCCGCCAGGACATTGAAAAGTTTGTTCATTTTTCCTCCAGTTTCCACCCCTCCATAACTTTCACATTGTCCATTTCCGACACTTTCTTCATTCTTTTATTCTTTATTCATTACTCTGACACTTTATTCCCTTCCTTTCCGTGACCTCTCTGTCTCCATTTCGGGGAATGCACTGTCCACTGGCGCCCACTATAAAGCCTCTGACTCCCATAGCTACCTTCACGACAGCTTGTCACGCCCCACGTCCTGCAAGGACTCCATCCCATTCTCCCAGTTCCTTCACCCACGCCGCATCTGTTCAGATGATGCCACCTTCCAAAACAACGGCTCTGACATGGCTTTCGCCTTTCACAACCGGGGTGTCCCACTCACCGTGGTTGACAGGCCCTCAACTGCATCCGACCTATCACCCGTGTTTGCGATCTTGCCCCTTCTCATCAACAACGTGATTGGGCTCCCCCCACCACCACCTCCCCATCGTCCTCAATTTTCATCCCACAAGCCTCCGGAAATTGCGGCTTAATAAATTGAATTTATTTGCAGATCCTTACAAACAGAATTCTCCATATCCTGCTTCCGCAACTCACATTTCCATAATGCAGGAGCGTTGAATGAAAACAGGCCTCACTGACTGACCTTTTCTTTTAAATTCATTCACGGGATAAAGGCATCGCTGGCCAGGCAGTATTTATTCCCCATCCTCAATTGCCCAGAGGGCTGTTAAGAGTCAAACACATTGCTGTCGGTCTGGAGTCACATGTAGGCCAGACTACGTAAGGTTGGCAGTTTCCATCCCTAAAGGACATTAGTGAGCCAGATTTTTTTTTCCAACAATCGACAATTGATTCATGGTCATCATTAGATACTTAATTCCAGATGTTTATTGAATCCAAATTCCACCATCTGCTGTGACAGAATTTTAACCTGGATCCCCAGAATATTATCCGGGTTTCCGGATTAACATTCTGGTGATAATACCACTTGGCCATTGTGTCCACAAAGCGGCTCAGGGTTTGGACAACATCTGGTTTGATAATTCTTCATCCTTGTGTTTGCAAATCCTTCCCTGACCTCATCCGTCCATCTCCCTTCAAACTGTTCCATCCTGTCTTCAGTCAGCTGTTTTTTCTTCCTTCATTGTACTTACTTTAAAACTGTCTTTCTTTACCTGCTGACCAGTGATTCCGAGCTTAGATGGGTCTGAGCCCTTTTCATTGACGGGCCATGAACTAATGAGCATAGTTTATACAAACAGTATTGAACTAACAGGGATCAATGCCCTTTATATTTAACATGTGAGAGTATGGGATTCACAGACGCAGAAATGAGGCAAAAAATATATGGATGGATTGACAAAAATGCATTCAGTGTTTATGATACAGGTCTAAAAAACAATCCAAGATATTTACTTCAGTGAATCAGTACCTTTGATTTATTTCATTCCAACCAGAAATACGTGTTATCAACATATCGAAATTTGCGTAGCTTGTTCGGAGCTTATGTTCACATTTACAAACGGAATTTCTAACCTCATATCAGGGAGTTACGTTGGTTGTGTCTCTGTCCTGATATACTTGGCCTGAGACAGCACCTCATCCTGCTGTCCCAGAAATGAATGGGGAACAGACTCGAATGGAGAAAACAGGACTGAAAATATTCACGCCAGGATTGCAGTCCAATTAGACACATCGAACATAGGAACAGGGAGAGCGAATTCAGCCCCTTGAGGTACCTACATGCCTTTGGTCCATATCGCTCAATATCTCTTTGCTTAACAAAAATTTATTGATCTCAAATTTAAAACTATCAACTGACCTAGCATCGGCTGCCTTTTTTTTTAATGGATTTCCGAACATCTACCAATTTTTGTGCGTAAAAATGCTTCTTAATAGTCTGGCCCAAATTCTCACACTATGTCTCCTGGTTCTAGAATTCCCAAACAATAGAAATAGTTTATCTTCAGGTACACTGTTTTCTTTTCCCCTCTTGACGTCTTGGAGACTTCTACACTGAGGAATTTATCCAGCAATTAGTCATAGAATCGCTACACTGGTGAAAGAAGCCATTTGACCAATCCACTGACCACCCAAACAGCATTCTCCCCAGACCCTGTACCCCCAACCCATCCCTGTGAATACACATTTAGTATGGCCTATCCACTTAGGCTATACATCCCTGGGCACTACGGGGTAATTTAGCACGGCCAATCCACCCTAACCTTCACATCTTTGGACTGCGGGAGGAAACCAGAGCACCCGGAGGAAACCCACGCAGACACCGGGAGAATGTGCAAACTCCACACAGACAGCTGTCCAAGGGTGGAATTGAACCCTTGTCACACCAACCGACATCTTCTTGCCCTCATAGTTGCTTACCGCCACCTCTATGATTCTGCACATTCTGATCGAAGATCATTTCTTGTGATTGTACTTGTTCCAGCTCAGACTGAGCCTACTCCAACACGCTTTCCTCCTTTTTGAAAACACTCATGCCCCACCATATTTCAATTGGTCTGTGGTATTCCAGTCACTGAGGAAGAAGGGAACAGATGCTGATACCCACATGGTCATCATCAAATGTTGAGTGTAAAACGCACAGCTTCTATTTCAGTCCTGAGTGCAAAATGCTCAGTTTCAAAAGGAACTACCTTGCCCTGCCCCCCACCCTCCATCATCCCAGCCTGGATGAATTCAAATTCCAGCTGCTTTCAGCTCTAAGGAAGGGTAACTTGACTCGAAGTATTCGCTAGGTTTCCCTGTCCACAGGTGCTCCTTCACCTGCTGAGTTTCTCTAACACTCTCCGTGTTTTGCTTCAGAAGAACTGTCAGCTTAGGAGAACATCACATACCAAACACATCAGACAGGAACTGATTTCTGGTGACCGATCCTTTCCACAAGAAGAACCAGTTTCAGTCCCAATGTGAAGGACATACACAAAACACTGCATATTGTTGAAATCTAAATTGATAACAAGACAGCGTTGGAGGAACTCAGCAGGTCTGGCAGCGTCTGTAGAGAGAGAGAGAAGTAGAGTTAGCATTTCAAGTTCCGTGTAAATCTTCTTCAAAACATGAAAGATGGTCATTGTACACAAGAGCACGAGCATGAAATTGAGCTCTAAGTACGACACAAAACTTTGCAGTTATTAAATACTTTGATCATTGTCAAGAAATGCGTCCAAGGGAATTTCAACACCTTTTGTAGCTCTGCCCTGAATTTGGTTTGTGTCATTGCATAGATGCATGTGTTTGTACAAGAACTCAAATGGGTGAGCAGATATCCAGTCTCAGTGGCAATGTATGGGGGTGAGGTATAGTGTATTTGGTCAAGCACAGCCAAAGAACTCACTGCAGATGTCATATTCAGCAGTATAAAACTGCCTGACACCAGGAAGAGTAAAACTATTGATTTCCTTCGGTTTTTCATCTCTGGATCAGTCTGATTTTCAGCCTGCTGAGCCCGGAGTCTCCTGCGACTAATATTGCTTACTACAATGTGTCTGGCAGTCAAACCGTTAAATAGTAATATCAAAATGAAAGGAATCCATGTAACTAATACATTTTGCAACCTGGAGTACATTGCACCTACAGGCGATGTAAGAAAGATCGCACTGGGACGGAATCCCCACTGAATATTGTTAATTGTGCGTTGATGTTCATATGCAAACCAAAAAGGGATGTTCTCTAAATATACCAGCACCGAGACAATTACGATGACCCTGGATGCAGTTCTCATTGTGCTGTACTTGGTTTTATGTTTCTGACAGCATATAGCTATAAATCGATCGAAGGTGAAGCAGACTGTGTACCACACCGACAGATACACATTAGTGCAGCTCATATACAATATAAGCTTAATAACCACAGTGTAGGAGAGAAATGAATGTGGGAATCGTTTGTTCAAAACTTGAAGCACAATGACATTAACGAGCATGATCATCAGATCTGCTGTCACCATGGCCAGCATGTAGACTGAAATACATTTAGAAAGGCCGCAATTTCCTCTCGAGAGAATCACAGTTGCCAGAAGGTTTGCTGTAAGAAAGGAAGGAAAATAAATAAGTTTGAGAACATAGAAAAATAAGTGATGGCCCAGTAGCATTATCACGAAGCTAATTATCCAGAAACCCAGATAATATTCTGGAGATTTTGTTCAAACCTGAATTAGAAATTTGAATTTGAACTCAGCATGTTTGAATTCAATAAAAATCTGGAACTAAAGAATCTAATGATGAAAATGGAATATTTGTCAATTCTCAGAGGAAAACCTATCTGGTTCACTTTAAGGAAGGAAACTGCTGTCCTTACCTGGTCTGACACCAGAGCACAACAATGTGGTTGACTCTCAACTGCCCTCTGGGCAATAAGACATCGGATATAATTGCTGGTTTATCTCATGACACACACATCCCACATGGAATAAAATATTAGTTCGTATGGCATATTGCATGTCAATGTACAGATGTTACATTATGAACTGTGTGCTTCGAAATGTGGGGTTTCGTATTGTCATAAACAGAAAGATTCAAGGTAATATTTTTGAAGCAGCTCATTGTGGATGTAATTTCATTGACAGACTGCAAAGACTCTTACCAACTTTTATAGATGCACCAGAGAAAGCATCCTATTGGGATGCATGACAGCGTGGTTTGGCAACAGCTCTTCCCAAGTCAGCAAGAAATTTCAGAGTCATGATGATAGCCCAGTCCATCACACAAACCAGCATTCTATCCATTGAATCTATCTATACTCCCAACTGCCGCAGGAAAGCAACCAACATAATCAAAGACCCTTCCCATCACGGTTACACAATCTTCCACCGTCTTCCATCGGGCGTAAGATATAGAAGTCTGTATACACATAGAAATAGATTCAAGACCATCTTCTTCCCTGCTGTTATTAGACTTTTGAATGGATTTCTCAAATTCTAAATTTAATGTTGAACTCTCTCTCTGTGCAACTGCTCTGCAGCCGTAATATTGTATTATTTGCTCTGTTCAGTTACCGTACGTACTTTGTATTGTATGGTCTGCTTGTTCTCCATGCAAAACAAAACTTTTCACTCTACCTAGTACATGTGATAACAATAAATGAGATCAAATCAAACCAATAAGGAGGCACAACACCACTTTCTTAAGGTGAATGAGAGATGAATAACAAAGGCTGTCTCACATTCCAAGAAATAAGAAGGAAAAGATCTAAAGAGATAAATAAATAAATTCTGAAAAGGTAATCTTGGCTGGAACGATCATTTTTCCGCAATGAATCAATAAACAAGGTTCCACAGCAGAGTGCACATCTCACTGTTGTGTATGAACATATGGAACAGGAACACAAGTAGTCCATTCGGCCCCTCGAGCCTGCTGTGCCATTCAATATGACCTTGTTGTTCTTTTTGCTTCTGGAATTCCACTTTCCCATCGACCCGATATAACCCTCAAGTCCCCAGCCAAACCACAATCTGTCAACATCTGTTTGGAAAATATTGAAGGATTCTGCCTCCACCACCACTTGATGCAGTGAAATCTAAATTCATATGTTTCCCAGAGACAGAAAGGGAAAAAAAAATCTCTCATTACTTTCTCAAGGAGTGAGCCCCAACCTTAAAGCAGTGAAAACAGACATTAGGAAGCATTTCTTCACACAACGGGCGGGAGAGCTTTGGAAATCTCTTCAGCAAGCTGCATTTAATACTTGATCAGATGTTCAATTTGAATTGGAAATTAACAATTTTTTTTTGTTAAACTCAGGTATTGAGTGGTACAGGCCAAAGGCAAGTCGATAGAGTTAGGTCACAGCTCAAAGATTATTACATTGAATGGTAGAACAAGCTCGATGGACTGAAAGGCCTCTTGCTGTCCCAAGTGCGCTGTTACAAAATGATACGCAATATGCTTGAATGTAACTGTCGGGCAATGGGATATATAAATTGAATAAAATGAAGAACAGCAGATGTGGAGATCTGGATTAACTGGAGAAACTCAGCCAGTATGGCAACATCTGTAGAGGGAGAAAAACACAGTTAACTCTTTGATTCTTCATCAGATCGTACCTGGAACACCAAAGGCAGCGAGCACAGGATAGAAGGTATCCTTTATCTGTAAAATTATCGGCCGCACCATTCTTTGGAAGAATTCTCGATTTATGCCTCGTTGTATCGTTTCGATGAGAATGAATTGGAGATGCACAAGGGCTTCCCTTTTATTGTACAGTTGGTGACCAAGCATGAAATGTTTTTGCATAACATCAGTCCTTAATTAGTCACGTAACAGACAGTTTCAGTTCAGACGTAATGGAATAATTGTCCACGGAACATTTGCAATCAAAATTCATCACAAGGAGAAACATTGATCATTGAATTGAATTAAAATGTGAGAAGCATCAATAAAAATTATGAAATTACCAGTTTAACATTAAAAACAATCTACTTGGTGATCGGGAACCATCCACAACTGTCCCTGCAGGATCATCATTCTGGGGTAGTGAGAGTGATTGGTAAATATTCAGTGATGGAGTATTAAATGGTGAGAAAGAAAGGGTTGAGAGAGAAAAGGAAAGTAAAATGATGGAGAGTGAAGAGTTGAAAAAGAGAGACGGTGAGTGAGAGAGCGGAAGTTGAGAGAGAGGAAGAGAAAGAGAGAGAGAGAGAACAGTTATCATAGTTAAATGACAAAAAACAGAATCTGAATTCTGCCAGAAATGCAGCTGTCCACTCTACCATCATCAACCTCATCCCGAGATTGCAAATTATTATAACTGATAAATCACTGACCTCACTCTCTTTGTCACTATCCATTCCGATACATCACCGACCTCACTAATATTGTCACTGTCCATCCAAATGTGACACTGACCCCAACCTTACTGTCACTGTCCAAATATATCACAACGTTACTGTTATTATCACTGTGCATCCAGATACATCACTGACCTCACCCTTCTTCCCACTGTCCATCCAGATACATCACTAAACGTGAGAGAGAATCCATCAGGAAATGATGACATATTAGCTTTCTGTTATTATAATATATTTGCATATTAATCGAGCAGATTAGTGAAGGATGGGGTTGGGGTCTATAACGAGCAAGCAGAGTAAATTGCTTACGAATAAAGGTTATGGCAGAGGTACTGAATGTCTTTAGTAACTTAGAAAATAGCGACAATGGTCCAGTTGAAAATGTGGATGTTGAGCAACTGAGCCCCGTAGGGATGGATAAAATAGAGGCGCTGAAAAGGCTGACAGCACTCTAGGAAGGGGAGTCACCAAACCCGGGTGGGATGCAATCCCAGATAGCCAAGAGAGGGAAGGAAGCAGATCACAGAGCCATTGACAGAAATTTTCCAGGCCTCTCTGAACGCGGGAAAAGTCCGGAGGGACTAGAGGATTTGAATGTGACTCAGAAAGGGGCAAAAGATGAGTTAATATCCCGCAGTCAACATAACATTGTGAAGGGCAAGTTCATTCCTGAACAATTTAGTCAAGTTCTTTGTCAAAGGTGACACAAGCAATGAATGAGGGGGGTGCTGTGGATGTTGTGTTTCAGAACTCTCAGAAAGCATTAGATTAAGTGCCACATGGCAGTTTAGTTAGCAAACTATAAATGTTTAGGATTGATGGTCCTTGGCAGCATGGGTTAGGAGTGGGCACGAAGTTAGGAAACAGAGCATAGGTATAGATAGGCATTTCTCAAATGGGAGACGAGTTGAAACTGCTGCTCCCCAGGGATCGGTATTGGGACACTTGCTTTTCTGATTTTTTTTTAATAAATGACTGAGGATGTGTGTTGAGGGCCAAATCTCTGAATTTGCAGGCGATAGTAATCAAGGGGATGCGCTGCATGGGAGAGTGGTTACAGTAGATTCCATACGAGGTTACAAAAGACAGCTGGATACAGGTAGCGCTCCTATAACACGATAGTTGCATTCTTGTGTGACCTCGCGCTGTGGGAAATCGCTTTGGAAAATCACGTTACAGCGAAATCGTTATAGAAAATCACGTCATCCAAACAGTTACTCCACTATTCATCAATCTCTTTCCTGCCAATTTGCACTGAGGAAACACGCGTTTTTGCATAAACATATATTCGACAGTGATGAAGTTGGAGGGCTTTGGAGATGGGGCTAAATAGTGGGACTAGCTAATGTTCTTGAGTAGGTTTGTAGCCCGGGTTGTAGATGCTGTGGTTGGTTTTCTCTCCGAGCTGGTTCATTAGTTCATAGATGTTTAATTACCCTGCTGGGTAACATCATCAGTGCAGCCTCCAGTGAAGCGTCGTTGTGTTTTCCTGCCTGGTTTTTAAACTCTGGGATCATTTAGAATTGGCTCACTTCCAGTTTTCCTTCACAGTAGTGTGTATACAGGGTCTAATTCTGCGTGTTTGTTGATGGCCTTCTTGGTGTGAGCTTTTTTTTGGGGGGTCAGGTACAGATATGATGTGTAGAATGGCCTCCTTCTGTCCTGTAACATGCCATTAATCTATCATACTCTCAACGGCAGTTTCCTGATGGGCATAATCATTTTATGGTCACCCTCCCATTTTGTCTGAATTAATTAGGGAATGTCTAAACCACTAATAAATTGGTCAGACTCAGTCTGTTTCATGAATCCATGATGACTCTGCTTGACTAGATTTGACTTTTTTAAATGCTGTGGGCAGCACGGTGGCTCAGTGGTTAGCACTGCTGCCTCACAGCATAAGGGATCTGGGTTCAAATCCTCCCTCAGGTGACTATCTGCATGGAGTTTGCACATTCTCCCTGTGTCTGCATGGGTTTCCTCCCACAGTCCAAAGACATGTAGGTTAGGGTGGATTGGCCATGCTAAATTGCCCATAGTGTTCAGGAATGTGTGGGTTAGACATGGGAAATCAGGGATCAAAACAAAGTTGCTGGAAAAGCTCAGCAGGTCTGGCAGTGTCTGAGAAGGGAAAAAAAACAGAGTTAAAGTTTCAGGTCTGGTGATCCTTCCTCAGGAGTTCTGAGGAAAGATCACCAGACCCAAAACATTAACTCTGATTTTTGCTGCCAGACCTGCTGAGCTTTCCCAGCAACTTTGTTTTTGTTCCTGATTTACAGCATCTGCATTTATTTCGGTGTTTATGGGAAATCAGGGGTAGGGGAATGAGTCTCGGGGGGATGTTCTTCAGAGGGGTGGTGTGGACTTGCTGGGCCAAATGGCTTGTTTCCACACTGCAGGGATTCTATGATTCTATTCTATGATTTACTTCCTTAATAATTGATTCCAGTACTTTTCTAACCATAGATGTCAGGTTAAATGGGCCAATACTTAATTACTTTTTGTCTCCCTCCCATTTTGAATAGGGGTGTTCCATTGGTAGTTTACGAATCTCCAGAATCCGAGGATTTTCGGAAAATTGCATCCATTCTCTGTAGCTACAGATCGTAAGACGTAAGCCATTCAGGTCAAGGGGTTTTGTCCACCTTTATTTGTCTGACACTACTTCTCCAGTGATGATGGTGATGGGATTTAGTTCTTCACCCTTGTATTCTTCAGTATTAATGGAATGTCAAATTTTCCTCCACCATAAAGACTAACGCCAAATATCTCTTTAAGCTGCTACTTGCTATCACTGTCTCTGCAGATTGATGAAGCAGAGAGGATGTTCCCCATGCGGGCAATCAAAAATCATAGAATCCCTACAGCGTGGAAACAAGTCCACACCGACCCTCAGAGCATCCCACCCAGACCCATCCCCCTATAACCCACCTCATCTACACATCCCTGAACGCTACGGTCAACTTAGCATAGCCAATCCACCTAAGCTGCACACCTTTGGACTGTGGGAGGAAACCCACGCAGACACGGGGAGAATGTGCAAACTCCACACAGACAGTCGCCTGAGGCTGGAATTGAACCCAGGTCCCTAGCGCTGTGAGGCAGCAGTGCTAACCAGCGAGCCACCGTGCCGCCAAACCACAAACCAAAAAATGAGAGGTGATAGTTTCAAATGTGTGTGTGAGGGTGCTGTGGGGGAGGAGAGATGGGTGGGTACACAGATTTCAAACAGAAATCAGTAGGTATTCCTTCTCCCAAAGGACCAGGAATCTGTGGAATCCACCCTCGAGGAGTGCAGTGGGCACCAGGACACTGAGTAAATTTCAGTGGGGGACAGACAGATTTTGTTTTTTGATGAGGACAGGTTAAAGGGTGATGCGGAGTGGGTAGGAAACTGGGGTTGAAGTCACAATGAGATCAGACATGATAGCATTGAGTGGCAGAGTGGGTTTGAGGGGTTGAATGGACTCATCCTGCTCCTAACTCTTATGCCCTTACAGTTACTAACCAGTAACATCAGTGATCATATTAGTGCCATCAAGGATTTGTACCACATGAATAACAGGACGACATATTTTCTGTGAGGAATGATACTTTTTCCTCCCTTTCTGTTCCAGGCACTATGTCTGTGTCAAACTCTGAGGTGTCAAGCTCCCAAAGATATCAATTAATACTCTGTCGGATCACTCGGGGAATAGTGAGACAAAAGTTTCATTCAATCATGAGTTTTAATGTTAACGTGAAAACAGATTGCAGCAGCAATTTAATTCTTTGTTGTAATAGAATATATTGAAAAGACATCACAGAGGCTAGTAGCCTGTCACCCTTTATTTATACATGGAGAGCCGTTAATGTTGATTCAGTTACCTCAGAGCCAGCTCCCAGAGTGAACAGAACCTCTGACACTCCTGTTTTATATCTGTCAGTCAAGGATCCCTGATTGGACCAGGTTAACAGCCCCAATCGGGGACTCACATTCTTTGAGGCCCTCCTGGCTGACCTCACTACAGCCACTATATCCTATCCCCTCTGAGCCAGGGGACATAGGCTGAATCTTTCTCTTGTAGCCCCTCCTCTGGGGTTTGTCAGCACTGGGTCAGGTTCCTCCAACCCTGCCCCAAATATGGGTGGCACGTAACACACAGTAGCTCACCTCTCGCTCCCGGAACCTCTCATAAGCAATTCAAGCTCCTCTTCAAGCGGCAGACATGTCCCTTCTCTACCTGGGCATATTTACTCTCTGCTTTGGCCAAAGCCCTGGATGCATAGGCTATTGTGCGCTCCTCTCCACTGGGCCACCAATACTCATCCAATTCGTTATTTCAT